AAATATGACAGCGATGTGAGTGGTGTTAATATGTGTACCATCAGTTTTCCTAAGATACATGTAGCTATCCCAGAACTAGAATTCTTACAAGACAGAGTGTTCAACTTTCATTTTACAATAGGAGAGTATAGGAATTTGTTTTTGGAATAATTATAATGTCAGGTGGTATGGCAGGTGTCACTGTGTTTCCACTTACTTCTAAAAGTTTTCACAGCCTAGCAATTATTGTAAATTTTTGTGTTGGCACATACCTACAGTGAAGTTCAGTTTAGATATGTGGATATTGTAAGCTATCCCTAATTTGCAAAACTTGCTGTAAGTTTAGTTTATCACAAAAATTGAATCTGTAATTACATTGGGTGGCATAACTGAGGTTGAAATTAATCTGTGATCCTAAATATGGTTTAGTAATATAAAATACGCAAGGTATATTTGAATTTTACCAGACTATTTTATAATTTGGCATTAGTGTTAAACAGCTGCTACCTTGAAGTGTATCAATTTGCTATACACAAATTTAAAAAAGAGTGGGAAATAGTTCAGACACTATTCTGTCACCGTCTGCACTTTCTCCACAAATTACAAACATGTGGAACTGCCTATTTTAATACTAGTTTTCTTGGGCCAAGAGGTTTTCATCTTTGAGAAACTCCATGTTACAATTTACCTACCCCAAAGGAATCGGATGACAATCTGATTTAATGTAACTTCAGATTTGAAGTAACAATATTACAATATACATTCCTCTTTTATATGTTTTTTTAATGTACTATATGTGGGTTGAGGACATTTCTCCGTAAATGTTTCCAGATGAAATATATCATCTTCTAGATGCACAGATAGGCACAGTAACTCCAAACTAAATCAAGAACTTACCCCAGTGTAAATTCGAATGACAGAAATAGACAGATGTAATGTGTAACTTCCAAAAAGCTATTTTTCTATGCAATTACCAGAAATTAAATAACCAGAAGACTGATTCAGCAAAGAAGCTGAGTGAAATTGCCAATAAGAGGTTGGTAAATACAAATTTTGCATATTGAATTTTATTTAAGCAAATTAATTTTGCATATTTATCTATCCATCTCTGTCAGATCTCAAAAAAAAAAAAAAAAGATCAAATGCATTGCTTAGCTGTTAAAAACCCCAAAAATAGCAAAGTCTCACTGAATTCTACTCTTATTTTAAAACTGTCAAGCTTTTACAGACCCTCAAAACTTTCAGGACCCCCCTGACCACTGAAATTTGGTCTGATGTTTTCTATTGCAGTGACTAATTTACTTAAGAAGAATTTAGTTTTAATCCAAGTATATTGAATCTTGAGCTCTTTGTTCAGCATTGTTTTTATGATTATTTTATGCAAAAAAACCCTCTTATTTTCCAACACAGTATGTTAGGAAACAGAAGGGGTTGGGTAACCATTACAGTAAGGTAACCTGTAATTGCCCTGACAAAGGATTTGGAATGGGGGGATGCCTAAATGCATTTTACACATGTGATGCACATTTATCTGTCAGTACATGTGGGTGAACCTCCCTGTGACACACCAGTGAACATCATTCTCCCACCTCACACAGGCCTTCTGATTGTTTTTTTTTTTTTCTTTCTTGTTTATGTGCTGATGTAGTCTATCATCACAAATCTGATAAATCTTTGCCAAGTATGTCCCAGGACCATTTGGAGTTACAGCATGTGTGGGTAGGCATGGGAAGCAATTCTAGAAGTAGCAAAGACTTGCAGTAAAGCTGACAAGGAAACCTGGAGGAATGCTGAACCCATTAATGATGCTTTTCTGTAGGAAGCTCAACCTTGTCAGACAGCTAATAGCAAATATCACACTTTTCCAGTGTAACTGTATGACCTCTGTGCATGCATTAGTTGTGAACTGTTCCTTTTTGGAATCAGTGAAAAATGCTTTATTCATTGGCTTGAATCCATGGTCCTGTATCCAGTCTAATTTGGGTTTTCCTACTCATCATTAGTGGTACCTAATTTTGGTAAGCATAAGTAGGCTCTGATAAAAATTTGTGCAAGGTACTGGAATTCCTGTGCAGCTTATTGGCTTAGCAATAAAGAAATCAAAACTTTGTGGTTGTAGTAAAAATTAAACTCAATTAATTAATTCTGAAGCCCTAAAGTAAATAAAAATAATTTTAAGAACGCTTTTTTTTTTTCCTAGATAAGAGGGAAGAATAGAGATGGGGACTTGATTTGGTCAGTTTGTGAGAGTAAACTTGCTATTGGTTTCCTTCCATTTTGTCAGTGCCAGAGAGAGATAATATAAAGGGAAACAGGTTTCCAGGACTGCTGTAAACCATAGCCAGCACAACTTAGTGAGTGATGTATCTCTGTGTGTGATGCTTTAGGCAGTGTTCTCATGTTAAAGTGCATTAAAGCGACCTGTGAGGTTTTGTAATCTGTGTGCCACTTAAAAGCTGGGCCAGGCTCACTGTTGGGACAAGCTTTGTCATGATGCTGGGGAAAAAAAAAAAGTTGGTATAATTCTGCCAATGTTTGCTACAGTGAGCATGAGTGCTGGGCATTTGGGATTGCCTCAGCTGGCATCTTCTGTCTTGTCTGAAATGGGCTGGTTGTCACAGCTCTTACCTGGAATTGGAGAATTGGAGCGTGGTTCTCTGTGATCATGTGTCATTACCTGCTTTCAGATGTGTTTGTTTTCTAAGATGTCAAATGAAGATGGCTGTAGTTTGTTCTTTTCCTTTTGTTCTTTTTTGGAAAGGACAAAATATTGAAGATCATGGAGTATTCTTACATTATTTTGATGGAAGCTGAAGAATTTTCCCGATGGTTGTGCAGACACTGGACTCTGTTGTTTGCTTGGAGGGTGACCACTTTCAATTTGCTTCCAGAATAGAAAACTTTGTCCTCTTCACGTGATCACAGATACCAGTCAGCTTGCCTCATCTCACTGAACATTGTGAGGCCATTAGAACAGCCTGTAAGATAAGAGACAAGTACAAGGATTTAGTTGCCTTGGCGTTTCCTGAGAATTGCCACCAAATTAACAAATTATTCTTCAGGTTTTGCATGGGCTAGATAAATCAATGTCTCATTTTGGCTACAAGTTTGACAGCTTCTGCCATGAAGGAAAAATTCAGTTTCTGGCATTCATCCCAGAAGAGTTTCTAAATTGCCTGAATGATCTGGAATTGGGAAAGGAAAATCAAATTCTTGCCTGTATTCAGATTGTCCCCTCCACCTCCCTAACTTTGCCTGTGTTCTGAATCATGAAAAGTGCTCTGAATGTGTGTCAGCTCCCAAGCACAGATTTGCTGAAATATATTGCTTAACTTGAATTATTTGAATTCATTAACTCTTAAATCCTAGTAAATCAAAAGTAGGAGACTAAGGAAAGAAGTAACAAAAGTGCAAGTTGCTATCATATTCTGACAGAAAATTATACCTAATCCCCAAAGAATGAAAACTTAATGTAATCATCTGACCAAATATGATCCCAAATACCTACAGTTGTTCATTTAACTGTGAGGCTTAAAAAGGGGAATACACCAGGGTGTACCAAAAATGCTTTCAACAGCCTCATTGTAAGAGAAATTCCAAGTTCAATCATAGTAATTGGTTATGAATTTGTCCTCTTTTTCAGTTATAGCCATATACAACAGTTGTGTGATTTTAATGTTCTGTGTAACTGTCCCATGACACATAGAATATGAAGGACATTAAAACCACCCTGGGTTTCTTCTCATTTATATTCTAAATCTATCCTGATTTACCTGCACATGTGGATTTATATCCTCATTCTCCTCAGCTCATGTCTTTCAGACACTTCTGGATGATCACAGGCACCTCCCCAGCTGAACACTTCTGTGCTTCCTCACACAACTTCTGTGGAGCTCTGACCCTGTAATTTTGTAATCAGACATCAATGTCTGATTGTCATAATTGTCTGCCTAATTTGCATTCAGAATTACCAAGATTATGCATGTCAATTAGGTATATGAGTCTACAATTAGATATTGCACATTCTGGTATTTGCACATGGAAATTAAGCATACAGTTGCCTGGGAATGTGTGTGCACACAGTTGGACAGACACCCCAATCAAACAAGGGCTCCAAAATTACAGCAAAAAGAGACTGAGATAAACCAGTTTATTATTGAAAAGAGTTCTTTAAGTTGTAGAGTAGAAGTATACTTTTTGTCTAATTAAGAGCTGGGGATTCCAGCTTTTTGAGCTCTGTTGGGTTTCTGAAAGTTATTGAAAGTGGAGTTAAGGTGGTTTTTATCTCATTCTGAAATCACATATTCTTTTTCTTTAAACTGATATTTCTGTGGTATATGTCTTGCCCTGTCATTTTTTCTCCCCTAGTTGGGTTGAAATTCCCTTTTCTGTTTTGCAGTTGTTTTGTACTTTTTAGCCAGTTGTGAAGTCTGAAATAGCACTTCACAAAAGCATTGCCTCCCCGGCTATTTCCCACTACATAGATCTTCAATTTCTTCTTACAAATTTATAACCTTTTCTTCTTGTGTAGAACAGTTTTTAATAAGTTTAATATTGACACTGATAAACTGCATTTATACTTCAATGATCTAATGATTAGAATCTACCATCTTTTAGAGCTGAGTACTCTCAAAGCTAAATTACAGAAAGAAGTATTTTTATTAAGTATCAGATTCCAAAATCCCAGAGGGAAAACAGTTAGAAACTATACAAAATTATTATACAAAGTGACAAGAAAATATGAAGATCTCTAAATAGAAACACAAAAAATCAAAACAAAATTATTTGATTGAATAAGTAGCCAAAAATGTGGTACCTTTGCTTTATTATTGTAGTAGCACATCCTTAGTTTAGTGTTACTTAAAAAGTCAAAAAGGATTAACTGGGAATTATTTTGTTAATTAGTGTATGTGCTCATTTAAGCCTAGGAAGTCGATCTAAAGTATTCAGAAATCCTTAATCATCGACAAGTCTGTTGTAACAACATTCTGACATTTGAAATCTTCTTGTTCATATTTCAGCATTTCAGGGAACACCTTGACAAACTTTTTGCAAAGGGAATTGGAATGCTGGACATTGCTTTAAATGAAGCTTTCAATATGCTCAATGAAGTAAGTTCATACTTTTTAGAACCTTTTTCTTTTTCACCTCCTTCTTGTTTTCCCTTTTTTCAACTGAGTTTATATTTGTGAAAATGTTTTAAAATGTTTCCTGAAGTATAATCTTGTATTTTGTGGAAAAAAATACTAAAGTGTGTTAGTCTGCTGGAACATGAAAAAAACTCTTCTAAACTAAGTAGCAAAGTGTCTTTTGATTGAAGGATGTGCCTTGGAAATAAGAGCTCAAACCCAAATATTCTCAAAAAAAGTTTGACTTGACAAGTGTGCCTGCCTTTATGCTGTGTGATCCTAGATTAATTAATGGTTCTAATTCCTGTGTATTCATCTTGAAGGGCAATATTGATTGATTCTTTTCCAGGCATAAAATCCTAAAATGAAAAAAGGAGTATCTTCTTCCACCCACTGCTCATGTGTTCAGTTAGACAGTGTGGAACTAATGCCTTCATGTGGTGCATGCCAAAAATGACAATGGGAAAAATGTGCATGAAGTAAAGGACACTGTAGTCTGTTTTTATAGGTTTTATTGAGAGTTGTAGACACCAAATAGAGTCTTGGGAACCTGAAAAACATTATGAGTTCCTCAGTGCAAGAGATGTTCTGTGCTAGTCCTCCAAATCTGTGTAAACTGAAAAAAAAAATCACATTGCAGGGAGTGAAGGAGAAGACCTGAAACAAGATCTGGTTTGCTTTGGTTTAAAATCTGTGAGGTAACTGGAGTTATAATGATGGATGTGGTATAAAAATCTCATTAGATAATCTGATAGTTCTGAGAATAAAGGGATCTGAAATCCCATGTGCTGAATTGTACCCATGATGAGAGATCTGTAAGATCATGATGGACTGTGCTACATTTATGTTCAGCTCTCTTCAAGGGGCTGTATTGATTGCTTCTATTTATACTTTAAAAGGAAGTATAATAGGTTCAATCCTTACTGTGTGTAAACTTCCAGAAATGCCAGCATAAAAATCTCTTCCATTTTATACAGGCATATCTGCAAAGTCTCTGGGAGATTCAATTAAGCAGTCTAGGCCAGAGGAAAAACTACCAAATCTCCCCTTAGCAGAGCACAGCAAACCATTTTCCACTTTGTCTACAGGATGTGACCTTTATGTGCCAGAAGCCTATTCTTTGAATTATAGGTTAACTAAGGATGTCTTTTCTTCATTTAAAAAAAAAAAAAAAAAAAAAAAAGTGGGTGAATGAGGAGGGGGAAGGAGTCGGTTTTTGTGTAGGAAAGAAAAAAAAAATAGAGAAAGCTTTGTGTTACACAAATAAAGATCTGGTTGGATTTTAAAATGGTTCAGGGGTTACACTAATTAAACTCAGTCAATTTTGCCTTGCAATTACCTTTCAGTATTTGCTATGGTTGTCAAGACTTGAAGATGTTTGCTACTGATATCTTTGAAAAGCATGTTTAAAAATCCACTTCCAAATTCTTTCCAATTGTCAATTTATGCAGTGTACATTATACAGGGTAAGAATACAGAAGTGCTTGGTACAGTAGTTAGACACCTACTATGTCATGTGACAACTGCAATTATCTCTTTTGGTGACAAATGTGCTCTTTGCAGTGATTACCTTTAAAAAAAATCATAGCCAATTAAATAAAATTCTGTGACATTTCAAAGACTGTTAATCACAACCAAATGCTGTAAATGTCAGGATGCATTGAAATTTTTGCTGCTAACTGATGAATCACTGAGTTAATTGTAGTTCATCATAAGCCCCTTGTCATTGTTATTATTATGGAAAACACTTTCATCACTCTTGCTATTCAATAAAATTAAAAGTTTTAGACAAATATGAGAAGATATTACTCATCAAAGTATTTGAATTTAATCTCATTCTTCAAAATATTCAGATAACTGTGTAGAATAATGCAGATGCATACAGAGTGGTGTTTCAAAATAAATGTACAAAGGCATTTCCCCTTCATTAATTTCTCTTTTAAGATACCTTGCCCCTTTTAAAATATATTGTCCATGTGAGGAAGATATCTCTAGACAAAGTAACTTCACCTTTATGACAAAATAATGGCTGTAAGATCATGAAAAAATCCCACTTTAATAATTCTGGTTCTGGTTAAGACTGGGAAACCCACCATGATGAGAGAATTTTAAGGAGTGACTGCCTTGCAAATTACAGAGAGAGGAGTTTTCACCCAGGCAGTGATCACAGCACAGTTAACTGTGTCAATCCCCATTAGCTGCCCTTTAAGGCAGAGTGTTTCTCTTTGATAAAAAGCAGCTGATCTTGAGGAGAGATGCAGGGGATGGAAATGGTTGCTGAATGTGGGTGTGGTTATTCAGATACAAAAATGTAAAGGCAGAAAACACAGAGGACTTGTGGAACCCACCACCCACCCTTTTCTACTGCAAGCATTTCTACAAAGATGAAATTTTTAGGAGAACTTTTTTAGGAAAATTGGGTTTTTAGAGTTTGGAAAAACAGTGAATATGTAAGGGCGAGTAGACTGTGGAAAGCTTAAAAGACAGAGCTGGTGGTAGTGCAAATCTAACCAGAACACACTGAATAATTTTTCATGACTCCAGGAGCAGTCTGCAAGGCAACTCACCTCTGAACATAGGTACTGCTTTTTAAATGGGACTACCCTATTCTGGATCACAGCAAGGCTGGTGAGGTGGGACAAAGTAATTCTTGCTTGGATTTCTCAGCATCAAGAGAGGGGTGAGGTGATAGGATGAGGCCTTGCCTCAAATGTGATAATGTACATGGAAACCACAAGTAATTGTAATATCCCATTTATTGACATTTTCATAGCTTTTTTTTGAAGTGTTTATACAGAGCAATTAAAAATAATAAAAATAATAAAAAATAATAATAAAAATAATTTTACAACTTGGCTTTTTTTTTTTTTTTGCTAAAAGATGATGTTTCCCCAAAGTTCCTTGAATACATAAGATAATACACAGAGAATAGAGGTAATACAAATAACCTATTCTGCAACCACTGCAACCAAAGCTAATGGAGACACATGGATTCAAAGTCAGAGCACCAACTCCAGAATGAAGAGATCAAAGCTCATATTATGACTCAGTCCAATGTATTTGCTCTTTGACAGGAGAAAATCCCATTTGTATAATGAGGAAGCTTCCTTTGCATATGCCAGAGGATTGCTGATTGCTGTCTGAGTACCTGTGCTCAAGTACTGCACTTCAGCAGCCTGAATTATTTACATGTATTCATCTTGGGTAATAGGAGAAACTCAGAATATATAAATATGAACTGGGTTCTCCCAGATAAATATTTTAAGGAAAATAACATATGGAATGCAATCCTGAGTGAATATGAATGAATGCCATATGAATAGTCATATGTCTCTCCATGAGTTGTGTACCTCCTGTACTTCACAGAAAAGTCATCATTCATTACTTCTTTTTGTGTAACGTGTTCTTTTAAAATTATATTTAAATCAAAGCAAACCCTCTAGATGCATCAATACTTATCATCTATCAAAACCAGGAGAATACCATTTCAATTTTGAGTAGTGCTATATTTGTGTATGTTTCTTATTTTTCAATTCACCAAGAATATGAAATCTATGATAAAATTTTTTCAGCCTGAATATTTTCGACTTCTAAGGATACCAGAGATTTGACAAAACCCATGTTTATCCAGTGTGATCCTATCTACCCTCATACAACAGGACATATATAAATGTGTCTTTTTTGTGTCCTTTTGCAGTTCAATCACACAGGACAAGGAAGCATTTGCAGCCAAGCCATAATGTTGATCACTGATGGAGCTGTGGACACATATGATACAATATTTGCAAAATACAATTGGCCAGACAGAAAAGTAAGTATGTTATCACCTCTGCTGAATGGAAAACCCAAAGCTTCATATCCAATCTAAAGGGTATGTCTATTGAAAAGTCAGTAAGAATCTTTCTAATGATCTATAAATGATTTTGGATCACTAATAAGAAAAAAAAAAAAAAAAAAGATGCATATATTGTGTTGCCTGAGGATAGAGAGGGCTTTTTACCGTGGTAATGAACTTAGGTTAATAAGATATAAAAGCACTATTTCCCTCCAGGTTACATTTTTGAGCATTATATAATCCTTCCCCTGAGACACATCATTAAGCATGAAAAAGATTTTCTTATTTCTCCCAAAATGCACATTAATCGATGCTTTTTCAAGCTAAAGATGTCTATGTACTGTGGACAGTGAGTGGCTTACTGTGACACAAGAAAGAGCAGATGTAGTACTCAATATTTATAATTTCTCCATTTGGCAGTGAGGGATAGAGATGACAGTTGGTAAGATTTTATTTAAAAATGAGTTTGGCTCTATTGATCTGTATAAAGAAATTTGCCCAGAGTGAAATTACCTTGTTATATAACTTGGAAATTTCACAGTAGGGCAGAAATGCCTTGAATTTACCTCATGAGGAAGCTCTAGTGGGCCTTGTGTCCCTAGTGTCTCTATGTGAAATAGTTTTATTCTACGTTTTATCTCTGTTAAAGTAAGTTTTGGGACTATTTTAGGTAGTTTTTGTAATTCTTTGCCATGTTATATGTCTGTGGAAGCAACAACCACACATTTTGGAGTGCAGTTTGAGCAAGTAATTAATTAATACAACTGTGCTGCATGGGGTTCTGTAGTCTGTGGGGAAAAAAAAATACTTGTTTTAATTTTTAGCTTTTAGTCATGTTTCTCTTTTACAGAATTCTGTTTATTTTCTGAGTGACTTCTCTAGCTCTGTTTTATGCAAACATATCGTTCCACTGGAAAGAAGGTGTAAAAGCTAAAAGTTTTGTGGCAATCCTTCCTCTCTTACTCAGTGGGATTCCACCTAAGTTAAGTCCTTAAATATTCCATGAGAACCTTTTACTTTACCTAGCAAAAGGGGTGTTGAAGGAGATTCACAGAATCTCTCAGAAGGATGTGCCTCTGATGCCCTCTATTTTCTTTTTCTTTGGAGTTGGTTCCTCTCTTAAGAAGAAGAGACTGGGGGCAAACTCTTATCATAAGAAATCAGCAAGGCAAAGAATTCTCTGAAAGAGTCAGCTCAGTATTTTCAGGAAAACATGTGTTGTACATCTTTCATGTGCTAATCCACAGCTCTATCTGAGATAACAACGCTCAGCACAGCTGCTGCAAAAAGCAGCAGGAGAGGTTTCCATTGGGAATTCTTCTGCAAAAGCCTAACATGGAGAGCCCTGCCTTGTTTAGCAAGGACGTGGTGTCTGGGGAGCAGCTTTTAGTTAATATGCAATATTCCCCTCAACTCTTCTAAAAATATTTAATGTATTAATACAGCCTTGAAAATTGTATTTTAAGAAACATGTAGGGGGAAAAAAAAAAATCGGTTTTTCCTCTTTTCAGCCTGAAATGTTTCAGTATGAAAAATGTAAAAGATTTCCATATGTACACTTTAATGCATTAGAGCTTTGAATGTCTTTGTTGGATTTGTTAATCTCGAAAGGAAGGCTTATTGAAAATGCAATATCCTACATATTAGCAGTGTCAGTGTGCCTAGAAATTATGCATGCCATGCACTTGAAATTTATTGCCTTTGCATTACACCCTCTTTATTGTCTCTAAAGCTGGTTTTTATATTTATAAATCACACCTTTGAACTGCTTGATAGCTTTTTTTCATGTACATTTTTTCCCCTATTATCTATGTATCAGCCTGCCATCTTTCTTATAATTTATGTTTTTCCTGCATTTTGATACTAGGGTGGACAGGAAAAGGCAATAACTCTAACTGAAGTAAATTCTGAAGTTTCTGTTTACCTCAATTACCTGGTCAGCAAAGTATCAATTTCAGTTATAGTTGATCTAATGTTAGATAATAGTAAATGGTTTATAATTCGTTGCAACATAATCATCTTGTTCTCTCATAGAAAGGAAAAAAAATCTTTATACAACTGTGAGGACTAAAAATTTGTCAGTGAGAATCTCTAAAGATGGAGAGTGAATACAAACTTCCAGGATATAAACAACAATTCATATTTTCTTCCTTTTTCCAAACCATTTATATCTTTGCAAAATATAGTTATAAAAAAATATATCTACCATGTAAACAGGGAAAAGAGAACTTTATTACATATTATTGGAGATATATTCTGCCTAACAACTGATTGAAAATCATTTTCCTTCTGATAACACATTAAAATAAAATTGTGTTGCAATGATTAAGAAAGGGAATAAAATGGCTTCAGATAAATCCCCAAAGTAGCTTAAATTAGGCAATTGAGGTTTTTGAAGGAAATCAGCCTGATATTTTGTATGAACTAGGAAATTATGACCATCAAAAGACTATTAAAAATTATCTTCTGGACTGTTTCCTTGAAAGAAGGAATGCTTTTGTTTTATTGGGTTTTTTATGAGTCTCTGTCTCCTTCAGCAAAAGAAAAAAACCTGAAAATATTTCCCCATGTTTACTTAGTATCTTCTGCTACTTTAAATGTAAACCTAGTAGATGCTATTTTTATAAAACACTATATTTTATTTATATGAGTAGTTGTTAACGTCTATTTCCTTTTTTTTATGAGGCCATACGTGCAATCTTAAGGAGCTGATTCTCACGCATTAGAAATGAGTTTGTGCTATATACATCATTTTTCTCATTCATGAAACTTACATTCAGTACTTTCAAATTTCTGTGATTCATTCAAGCCAACCCTGCCACGTGAAGTACCAAAAAGGGAATAATTAATCCACAAGAGTTAATAGATCTACACATCTCATATAAAAGCCCAGCTTTTCATCATGTAGCGGAAATAAGTATTTAAAAGGAATAGTGCCAAGAAAGTGTTTGTTTACGAGAGCTATAATATAGTTGCATTAATTTTATTTTTTAAGATGTCCTATTAAGTCTCAGAATATCTTTTTGATGTCAGTTGTACCAGAATCATGCTTTTATTCGATGTTATTACTCCTACTATGAGATACAAATGTATTATCAGAAACCAAGCAAAATACTGCACTTAGGTATTTCTCTAGGTCTCTTATTCTAATTAAAAAGGTTGAAAGGCCATGGGTAGGGAGGGGAGGCAGGCAGACAGATAGATGGAAAGATAATGCTTCAGCTCTGCTCCCAGAAGATAGTACCAGTAATGATCTTCTCTTTAATGAAACTGTCCTACTTCCTTTCTAATGGAAAATTCCAACAATAACTAACAGAAAATTCCATGAAAATTACTCTGGTAAATGTTGCTGAAATGCCTTAGCACATCAAAAAATGAAATTATGATGAGATTAGAGATATTAACAGAGCTTCAAGCTTTCTCGGGTTCTCAGCTGAAAGCCATTTTAATCACTAATTGAAAATTAGTAAACTTGGAACAGAAAGTATCTACTTAAATATAATTTAACATATTTTGTCATTTTAAATATAGCAGGACTCTTCTCTGAATGTTGTGATATTGCAAAGGAAAATAATGCAGTAAATTCTCTTGCATGAATGTGTGAGGGAACAATTTAAAACCCTATTAACTCACTGTCAACTCCATGAAATCTCATGATGCTTTTTCTCCACTGGCTAAAATGACCCAGTGCTTGCATAATTGAGGACTTCCCCTCTCCTCCATTTCCCCATTGTTTTTACATGGCTGTCAAGTTCTGTACTTCTACAAAACCCATCTATTCTTTGTTCTGGAGAAGCCCAAAAGCATTTCTTCCATAACTATGATTGAGAGCAGAGTCTAAAATCCCATTGAGATCAAGGGGAAATCAGTATTTCAGTTTGGGTACAGACTTTCAGTATTCTTTTCTCGTGCTGGTCAATGCAGCACTCAGGTGCTCAAGGAAGATGTCAACTTTGTCACCTCTAATGACACCTGGAGAGAGATGTTCTGCTCCCTTGGCCTGAGAGGTCTTTGCTTGACAATGCTGTACCATCTGTAAAATTTGGGGAGGAAAGCAAAAGAATAATTTGAACTCTATCCTCCCCTTTGGGTGTGCCCGAGTCTGAAAAGCATTTGCTTTCATAATTATGTGAAATAGCTCTGTGCTAGGGTAGATACATGCAAAACCAGAAGCACTAATTCCTCCCTAAGTCAAGTCAAATGGAAACCAAAATCCCGCCTAAAGTTTCCTCATTTTCTAGAATCAAATCCAGCAAGAGAATCTGGGATAAAAATACCTCTGTATCCAGTTACCTTGCTCGTTATTCTGCAGCCTTTCTTTTTCTGGGCAAGTAACAGGGAATAGAACTTCATCTGTCTGTCTCCTATTATTCTGAGGGCTCTGGGTAGAATTAATTTTGTATGGCACAGAAATATTTTCTTTATGCTTATGAACCATTACAACAAGGCAGAGATTTAAGATGGTTTCTATCATTGCTGAGACTTCAAGTAGGGTGAATATAAAGCATAACTTCAATCACATCTTTATTCCAACTGCTAAATGATTATGGTGCAGAAAGACCTAACAGCCAATGCTGCCTGTGTCTGAATGGAGCTGTTGAAATTAAAATATAAATAGTTCCATGACTTTTAAGTGTTTATACCTACTCTTACATCTGCTTTATAGGAAAAATTTCACAGTCTGGCAGGTCTCTGGATCTATATAGAGTACTTAAAATTATAATTGAATCCAGAGAGCAACACCTTAAAATTTGCTGGATTTAGGTTTGATTTCATAATAGAATACTAAATTTGCAGGCAATAATAATCAGTTAATATATAATAGCTCCTTAATTATGTGGGACTTTCGTGCATACTTTTACAGGATCAGTATTTATAGTACATTTAATAATATATGGCTTTCTTAAATATTTGGTCATTCCTGGTGAGAACTGGTCACTTGGTCACTAAAGCTCTTAATTTCAATCCTTTCATTT